AAAAAAAAAAAAAAAAAATATATATTACTATATATTTTAGAATGATATGTGTTACTTATGACTTACATGTGTTATATTATATTAGTTTTTATAACTTATATCATATAACTAGTTCAAATATAAATATATTAGTTGATAAATAATTTTATTTTTCTAATTAATATTAAAAATAATTTTATTATTGTTATAAAGATAAATATAAATTATTTTTTTATACATACACTATGGATGTTAAATCGAAACTCATCAAAAGAAGATTAATTTGATATATTACATATGTAAAACTGATAAAAAATACAAAAGTTATTAACTTTTAAAATATATATACAATTCAATAGTTATAATAAGAAATGATATTAAAATACAATTAATATATGTAACATGACCATAAATAATCAACATATTTATGATAATCCGAACCTAATTATTTTGGGTTTGGAATTAAATTAAAACTATGAAAATTATATTTGTATACAATCACGCACCGATACAAAACAATGAAAATTAACATCATTATACTCTCTTTCAAAAAAAAAGTAATGTCATGACTATAATATATATATATGAGAGAAGGGATCATATGAGAAAGGGAGTTAGTGAAAGAAATAAGAATGATTTTGAATCATTGGATCACTTAAACTAATGGTGATGATCAAGTCAAAACTTCATAAATTTCAGTCAAACATGAATGGCATTACTGTAAATAATTGTAAACACCATGTCAATTATAAAAATTAAACTTATAACTGAGGGTAAATTAGACATTTACACACTACAAGTAGACCCCACTCCTACCCCACTCCTCTCTCTCCCACATAAACACACACAACACACACTACACACACAGAACACACAGCGCACACATATCAATCACACACAAACACACACAATCTGGATGAAGCCGCCACCGGCCGTCAATCGCGCCGCCGCCGCAAGAATCGCCGGCCACGTCGACACCAACACCGGCCCGCTTCCGTCGTTGCGGAGAGCTATCGGATTCCGGCACGACAAATGGCTGTGTGGTCGACCTCGCTTGGCGACTGTGTGGCCGTCCTCACCCGACGACAATCTATCGCTGCCTGCCGCCATGCCGCCACCGCGTCGCCGTCGTGTATATATGTTCAATTGCCGACCTCGATGCTCAGATCCGACAACGAGAAGAAGGTAGCCATCTCCGCGAACCTTCAGCGTCGTTTATCACTGATCCTGAAACCGCGACGCCACCGTCATCCTTTCCGACGACGCTATGTGAGAATAAAATGGCCGATTTTCGTTTTTTTCCTTTTTTTTTTTAGTGCGCATATGAAGTCGTCAGGTCCTAGCGGCGGGCTGTAGTGCGTTACGTATTGGCCCGACGAAGGCGGCGGCGAGTGACCATGTCGACGGTGACTGGAACTTCGGTGGGGGGGGCGGGGTTGAGCTCTAGCGGAGGTCGACGGGAGTTACATGTTGTAATTGTGTCTTGGAGTTGTGGGGTTTTTCTTTGAAAATTTGATAGATTGTAGGGGGCTAATTGCAATGTCTTTTAACTTTTTGTTGTTTCAATTTAAAATCATGAGTTAAATGTGTAATATGATAACAGTTTAATTAGTTCACAATAAAGTTTTATAAATTGCACATTATTATCTAATATATATTTTATTTGATATTATACATTATATTTTGATTAAAAAAATATTCAATAAGCAGACGAATATATTGTGCAATCTAACTGTTATTAAGGTGCAATTCGTCAACCATTATAGTGCACTATGTCGGTTGTATTATACAGATCGAACCACTCGAACCTTTGTCCTATGTCTACTTGAAAATAAACATAACTAATTGGTTATCGGTTCAATTAATCGAATTATTCTAAATAATTAAATATTATTTTTATATCAAAATTACATTTAATATGTTACTAATTTTATTTATTATTTGAATTGGTTCCGATTTCTATTTTGCAATCGAATAATGTGTTAAAGTGCAATGTGTTGTCTTGTAAAGTGTAATGAGTTGTTTTATAAAGTGCAACATACTGATATATAAAGCGGACTACCGTATTTTTTGGTACGTTGTCATTCATGTGTTTTATGTGGATAAATGATGTGATCGATGTTAAAGTATTTCGTATATCTATTTTTTTTATTGATTTATGTCGTGTGGTGTTTTGGCGGGAGCAGGATTGTGGTGATAGAGTGCACCGTGTTGTTTTATAAAGTGCAACATTATTTTTTATAAAGTGCATCGTGCTCATATATAAAGTGCACTATCTTTTTTTTTAAAAAAAAAAAGTCAATAAACCCCAAATTCTTAATTTGAACTTATTGTGGAAACCACTATGCAATTCGTGTAACTCTAATATGCACTGACAATACATAAAAATATAAAAATAAATAAAAATGATATTTCTTATATAGTTCGGTCGATACGAATATTTTGTTTATTTTAAAAAATAAAGTCGGCATAAAACTAAAATACCGTGAGTTTAAAGTAAAGACAGATTAAAATACAATATTTTTAACTAATAATTTTAGTTTGTTCGAATTTTATCGTTATTGTTGGAGAAATAATTTTTTATTTATATTAAATTATATTTAATAAGATAATAATTTTATTTATTATTTTCGAGTTCGGCCAATTTCGCTCACTATTTGTGTGATCGGTTAGTCGCAATAAAGTGCATCGTGTTGTTTTTGTAAAGTGCACCGTGATATTTTATAAAGTGCAACGTGCTGTTTTATAAAGTGCAACTTGTATGATATATAAAGTGTCCTACTGTTATTTTGGTACGTTAGCATGATTGTGTTTTTTGTGGAACGATGATGTTATGATGTTAAAATTAAATTTATGTTGTATAGAATTTTTGGCGGGATCTATTTGACGTTAATTGTGGAGTGGGTGATAAAGTGTAGCTTGTTGTTTTATACAGTGCAACGTTTTGTTTAATAAAGTACAATACATTATTTTATAAAGTTCAACGTGATATTTTATGAGTGCAATCTTTTATACGATCCCATGTAAATTATTTGTATACCGAAACTAGTTTTAATAGATATAATTGTACATCAAATTAACTTAATAATTAAAATAATTTATTATTTATTATTATAAAAGTATATTTTGTATTTTAATATTTTTATAGATTTTTATATTATTTACTGTTTAAAAACTATAATTTATATTTTAAAAATTATATTTTTTGTCTGGATTTTAAATATTGTATATTGTATTAATTTTGGTCGGTACATACGCTAAAGTGAAATGTCACAAACACAAAATTGCAACCTAAAAGTCGCTAATTTGTACGATTTCGGCCACTATGTGCAGTATGTAAGGACCGAACTTTCGTCCCAACCAAATTGAAACCTAACACTAACGTGCATTTCAATTTTAATTTTTTTTAATAATTTGTATTTAAAATCACTGTGCATTTATCAAATTATTTATGTAATAAAAATATATTTAGCTTTTATAATTTTTGTATTTAGTAATTTATATTAGTATTCTAATTAAAGTCATCGTGCATTTGTTATGGTAAGGTGCAATATCACAAACACAAAAGTGCGACCCGTCAGTCAATAATGTGCAATATGTTCAATAACGTTTAATATTTGTATATTATTTTTATTAATATTTTATTAATTTTGAAAATAATAAAATATATGTATGTAAAAAATTATTTAGAAAACAATATATTTTATACATTTTTTAATATAAAAGCCATTAAATTGCCTGTTCCAATACTAGTAGTCTGTCAGTATGCTTTTAGTTACTTTGACCACATTGATTCAAGTGTTATATTTTTATACGGGTTTAAATTTGGCCACATTGATAAATTGAGATATAATATTTTTTTTAATATTGCAACTCAGGCCCTGAGATTAGTCTAATTCTCATAACAAAGCAACTGAAAAATTGCCCCAAATCTCGCCCGTGAACCTCCCGCCTGTTCT